TTGATGTTTTATCCACTTCTTTATCTTTCCTTTCAAAGCACAGGGATCCAGGATTATCTTCTGTATCTGTGTCAATTGGTTTCTCTTTTCTTTGTTGAAAAAGGTCTGTGTAACTTGTCTGCCTATTCTACCATATTCCATAGTACTTTCAATTTGCTGTAATTCAACTTCTGTATTTAACTGGTTTGTCTCAGTCACTAGGATTGTTTTAAGAAGCATACATGTCTGTTTTACTGTTATATTTTCAGCACTTAGTACTGTTTTCAGCACATAGCAAGCACTTTAATAAATATTAGATGAATGCTTGAATAGATTCCTGGAAGGAAGAGCCACAAGTGACCTCAAAGGATATATTCACCATTACTTCTGAAGTCTTAGGGATTAAATCACTAATGTCACCACTCATATTGTGGTGGCTTGCATGTTGCTGTTATGCTGGAAACTCTGCCACTGGTATTTCAAACATCAGCAGGGTCACTTGTGGTAGACAGGTTTTAGCAGAGCTTTCAGGCTAAGACAGACTAGGAAGGATGGCCTGGCAATCTACTTCTGAAAATTAGTCAGTGAAAACTGTATGGATCACAACAGAATATTGTCCATTGTAGTGCTGGACAATGAGCCCCTTAGATTGGAAGGCACTCAGAATACACAGTGGCTGCAACAATAGACTCAAGCAGACCAGCTGTTGTGAAGATGGCTCAGGACCGGGCAACATTTTGTTTTGTTGCCATTGGGGTTGACATGAATTGGACCCGACTAACTACAACACATCATGAGCAGCTAACAACAACACATCATGAATTCAACAACAGTTGTGTGCTTCTACTCTGTCACTAGACCCTGGGGTTACCATAGTGTACAAAATAGACAGAAGTCTGTGCCCTCAGGGACCTTACATTTTAGAGTTTAAAGTTCTAGAGCTGAGGAAGATGGTGTAGAAATAGTGGCTCTAGCTATTTTTGTTGTTGTTGTTGTTGTTAGGTGCCATGAAGTTGACTCTGACGCATAGTGACCCTGTGTACAACAGAACAGAACACTGCCTGGTCCTGCGCTAGCCTCACAATCCTTGCTATTCCTGAGTCCATTGTTGCAGCCACTATGTCAGTCATCTCATTGAAGGTCTTCCCCTTTTTTGCTGACCCTCCCTTTACCAGGCATGATGTCCTTCTCCAGAGAATGGTCCCTTCTGACAACATGACCAAAGTGGATGAGGTGGAGTTTGGCTATTCTCGCTTCCAAGGAACATTCTGGCTGCACTTCTTCTAGGAAAGATTTACTAGTTCTTCTGGCAGCCCATGGTACTTTCAGGATTCTTTGCCAACACCTGGTCAATCTTTTTGTCTGTCCATTTTCCTTTGACCCACCCTAGAGTGCTCCAAGCACCCCTGTGGCCCCTCTTGCTCTCATCTACTCCTAACCATGCATTCCTAATTTGGTAAATTCCTCTGCTAAGCTGTTGAGCTGCTCCCTCCAACCAAAGCTCTGGAATGTTAAATAAGGTCAAATCACCTATGGCCTCTTCTGTCTGGTTTCTATCCCATACAGCTGTTTAACACTTAACCCAACCCCTCTATTCAGTGAAATTCTCCTTTGCCAATCCAGTGTAGCATATGGTATGGCTTAGAAATATTCAAAGTGATTTTTTAGAAACTTAGTTTATTTATTCCTTCAAAGTCTGAACTAACTGTCACATAAAATATTCTTTGTGGCATTTGTTTGGATGAGAGACCAAACCATTGTGGTATGTACCTACATATTTGACACCCTTCCCTATATCTATTATAACTATTCTTCTACTGGATTTCCTGTATTTGTATATTTTTATACTTAGCACAGCATTTGGACCCAGCGGAACTTTAATTTGACCTACTGTGCCATCCAAATACCAAAGGGGAATATGGAGCCACTGAATTGCAGAATTTTGCAAAGTTACTTTAACATCACATTTGAATTACTTAATTTTTTCTTTGAATCAGTTGCTAAGCAACTGGGACAACAAAGCAAAATCAGCAAGGCTAATTTGTTTCTCTTGCTAGTATGTTACCATTTCATATATTTACATAGACCGTTGGAAGTACATGTAATACAGTGTAATGCTGTAATGCTCAGTTTTGCAAAAGGGAAATAGTTGGGGTGGAAGGTATAGCAAGGCTTTTTTGGGTGGATTGTGTGGGTTTAAATCTTCAGTCACGTTTAGTGAATGTAAAGTTATCTGAAGTTTCAAGCCTGTGTGGTAGCCCATTTGTTAAGTGAGGACTTGATTTTGGTTATACTGTGAACAGTTGTAAAATGGTGCTTTCCATTGCGTGTTGTACCTCAGCATCATGGATCCAGTCTGACTGTTCCTCAAATCATTTTAAAACACAACTTTCTTTAAAAGAAATTCATACCATTTAGCTGTCACCGTTATGGCCTGTGTTGGAGGGAAAAGATAGGCCATTTTGCTCTCCATGTCTTCTTATTTATAAAATTTGAAATTGTTAACCCCATTTGGTCCATAAACTAAGTCATGTTTAAAGCATTAATGCAGGTGACTTAAATATTTTGAATGTCTTTTTTGTTTTTAAATTGTGTGCTTAGCAAGGAAGTCACCCTGACCTAGCCCAGATATGTGTGTCCTATGTCATAGATAGTCCACTTAATGCTGGCTAACAGGCTCATGGCGTGTGGAATTATTCATAGGGTGAATGGAGAGTTCACGTGCATCCAGCTGGTAGAAAAAGCACATCTCCCACAGTGAGATCATTAAGTTGCCATTTATGTGGTAAACAGTAATGACCTGTACCTTCCTTCCTTAAGTGTTCCATATAGCAACCCTGTTTCTTAGACTGGTTTTCCTGCTCTGTCCTTTGTTCTCTACAGACCATATAGGCTGTATCTTTCATGTATAATAAAACTTACTTTATGTTGATGGATCTTTAAGATCCTTGATAAAGATTGATATAATTTGATCTTACATTTACATTAAAGGAGCCCTGTTGGTGCAGTGGTTAAGTGATCGGCTGCTAACTGAAAGATCAGCAGTTCAAATTTACCAGCCACTCTGTAGGAGAAAGATGTGGCATTCTGCTCCAGTAATGATTACAGCAGGAAACCCTATTGGGCAGTTCTGCTCTGTCACATGGGGTCACTGTGAGTTGGAATCGACTTGATGGGACACAACAGCATATCTATAACTGCCTATGGGTGTTTAGAAATACTTAGTGAAGAAAGAGATGATAGAAATGGAGAAATTACATTTTACTTCTACAATTAAATGATTTTGTTTCGTTTTGGTTTTTTTCTAAATAGTGTTAATTTTTTGTGTGCTTAGTACATGGTAGGAATTCATTGATCTCAACTAGAGGAAAGGCTGACTGAAGTAGAAGGAAGTCTTAATATCTTAATGTTTATGTAGTTGACAATAATAAGAATTTTTCTTACTTTGAGATGGTTATTAGGCTAGGACAGTAACTAGAAATTTACCTGTTCAAGGTGCTTTGAAGAAGTCTGTTTGAATTAATAGCTGAGAAATAATATACATTTAATAGATTAAATTTCCTTAAAAACCTGTTCATACTTTCAGGGTATAATTCTTCTGAATCTGAGTATCACTCCAAACTTAGTAATTTTACTCTATAAATACTTAAGTTTGAAAAGTCACTTTTCAGGGATACCAATTTTAAATATGGCTTAAGGCAGCAATTTCTAACCTTTTTTGATGGCGTATTCCATTTAAAAAAAATTGGCAAATGTACCCTTAAACTATGTATTTATGCATATATGTGTATGTGTATTTAAAACATATGCATGTATTACTGTACTAGTATATTGTGTATATTATGAAAACAAACAAGAAAATAGAAGTTAATGAAGAAGATTAATATTAAATCATGAGGTTAATCATGATGGCTTCATATATCATCATTCATACCATAAGGCACATAGGTAGTTAAGGGAAAGGTTCATCATTAAAAATAATATCTTCAGTAGTTTGCTTTATGATTACTAATTTCTGGGTGACTTTTTTCAGATCTGATTAAAAAACCAAACTCACTGCCGTTAAGTCATTTCGACTCATAGCGACCCCTCCTTGGGTTTCTGAGGCAGTATCTCTACGGAAGTAGATTGCCCAGTCTTCCTTCTGAGGAGCAACTGGTAGGTTTGAACCGCCAGCCTTCTGGTTAGCATTCAAATGCCTCAGGCGCTATGCCACCAGTGCTCCCTCAGATCTGATTAGATCACTGTTATTTTTACCTTATAATAGCTGACAAAAGAAATAAAGGTATTGTCCATTCTACCATATTCTTCATGTTCCCTGGTTTGCATTGCTACTGTTACCTTTGGTTTTTTATTTCTTTGCCGAAATCATTTAAAACTACTTGTTCATTTTGTGACAGTTGGTTTAAACTATGTAAGATCATGTATAAACTCATATAAATCCAGGTATCCCTAAACTGAAATATGTCATGATACTTTGAGAGTGATACTTTGAGACTAGGGAAGGTACCGCTCCACATCAGGTGCAAACATTTTCTGTCTGCATCCTAGAGGATCGTCTTGCACAGGACACTCAAGTACCTGTACCCCAGGAAGTCCCTATAAATAAGCTTCTGTAGTATTGTTTTAAGAAGTAGTTTTTGATATAAGAAAATTGAACTTGTGTGAGAATGAGAAAATGCTTGTTTATATTGTCTCACATAATGAGGAATAATTGTCTGTTGTAAAAGAAAGGAGACAACTATGGGATAGGAGAAAGAACACTAGAGTTGAACTCTACATCCTGGTTCTTCTGTTTATCCATGTAATGATGGATTACTGACTTACTTTTTGTAAGCCTCAGTTTCCTCATCACAGTGGTGGTGAGAATTAACTTTAACAAGAGAGGTTTCTATCTTATAATTTATATGCACATATAATATACTTCATAAAACCTTACATAAATCAAAGGGAGAGCTTTCTTCAAAGCTTGAGGGAATAGACTTCTCAGTAACATTTTTGTTTGCTTATTTCACTTCTAGACTGCCTCTTCAAGCTATGTCCTATGAATCGCTACTCTGCCCAGAAGCAGTTTTGGAAAGCTGCAAAGCCAGGGGCCAACAGCACAACAGATGCAGTGCTGCTCAACAAGCTCCACGTATGTACTGGAAGGGGCTGTTGGTGATGAGGCTCTTGTGAGCGGCCACTTGAGTGGTATCCAAGTGTAAAGGGTGGGGGAACTAATTATGCAAATTTCTACCTTTGGTACTGTTTTCCTTGCATTCTTTGTTAAAAGGATAAAAGGAATATAACCCTAAAGAGACATGGGTCATAGTTGTCTTGAGATGACATGAGAGCTGCTTTTTTCTCAGTCGTTGCCTTTTGGGGTAGCTTTGGGAAATGTATTGGTCATAAGATCACGCTCTGGAAGCAGACTGTCTCGATTTACATCCTGGCTCCACTGCTCACTAACTGGTCACCTTAAGCAAGTTACATACTTATTTTGTACCTTTGTTACATCTGTAAAATGTGTATGATCATAATACCCACCTCAGGAGGTCTTTGTGAGGATTCTATGAAATGAAACTTAAAATGTACATGAATAGTGTCTAGCATCATAGTAATTGCTTAATAAATATTAGTTTATTATCATTGTATTTCCTTTGACTGTTCATATACAAGAAATGTACTTATTCCATTGCTGATGTCGTATGTGGCCATATTCATTGTTTCAACTTCTCTGAGCTCATTTCTCCTCCTGTTAAATGATGACATAATTCTTTTAATATCCTATACAGTGAGAATAGTCTGTGTAGTTCTTTGGGACACTTAGAAGAAGGACATGACATAAATCAATGTAGGATTATTGGAATTGCAATTCATTTCCCATCCCCTTATCTTGCTTTATTTTTCTCTATGTAATTTGTCATGATCTTTCTAATTTGTTTTCATTGTCTGCAATCTTTCCTAACTAGAATATAAGTTACTTGCAGGCAGGCATATATTTCAGTTTTGCTCTTTATGTCTGAAACAGTTTGACACATAATAGGTTCTCAAATATTTATTAACTGAATATAAAAAGTGTTCCTTGGGCCTTAGTGATGATACCAAAACCAAACCAAATTCACTGTTGTTAAATCAGATCCAACTCATAGTGACCCCTCCTTGGGTTTCCAAGTGCCAAAGGGGCAGGGAGGCCGCATCTTCTGACTTCCTTTAACCCCACAAGAGGAAGACAAAAATCACCATCAGTAGCCCAAGGCCTATTCCTGCGAGGCCAGACATGCTGCCTCCCTTCAGCCCTTTCACCAACCATTCTTCCCTTGAGGCAGTGGCCACACAGAAGTCACAGATTATGGGGTTTATTAGGGAAGCACCAGACTACAATTCAAGTTCAGAAGTGTACTCAATCTCTTGCAGCCGGCCTTCTCATCAGCAGCCAGCAGTCTCAGCAGCACATTGCTCTCAGCAGTGTGTTCTCTCTCGTGTCTCTCTTTCAGCAGTGTGTGTCTCTCACATCTCTCAGGAGTGCGTTTCTCTCAGTAGCACATCTTTCTCAGCCAACAGTCAGAGAGACTCCTTGCCTCTAGGAGGGTTTCTTTTGAGCCTGGCAGAGTGGCCCAAACCAACCAATCCCAACATCAGAATTCTATACACCTGAGAGAGAGAGAACTTCCCAGAAGATTGCTTTGTGTCACTCACCACAGAAGTATCTCAGGTGGATAACTTTAACAATCAAGAGCTACTCAGTTGCTCATGGCAAATTCCACCTTGGAGTTTACAAAGGCTTTTGGCTAGAAAAGCCATACCAGGTAATTTACTACACCACACCAAGGCAGCACCACTACTCAACTAGATTGCCCAATCTTCCTTCCGAGGAGTGGCTGGTGCATTTGAACTGCCAGCCTTCTGGTTAGCAGTCAAATGCCTTAGGCACTACACTAGCAGAGCTCCCTTAGTGATGATAGAGGTGTAGAATAACTGTGAGCATTGAGGAGCTTCATGGTCTGCCATCTCAGCTCACTTTGTTTTCATTGTTGTGTACCACTGAATTCCACATGACTGAATAGAACTGTCCCATAGGGTTTTCTAGGCTAAGATGACCAGGTCTTTCTTCTGTGGAGCCACTGGGTAGGTTCAAACTGCCAAGCTTTCAGTTAGCAGCCAAACACTTAACCATTTAGCCACCAGGACTCCTTCTGTTTTGACTAGTGTGGAGCAAAGTCACATTTGTTAAGATAAGGATCAAGTGAAGATACGCTTTCATTTAGTATATATTGTGTTATGTGGGGGTAGGCGGGGTAAGATGCTCCAGGCACAAGAGGAAAAGACCCGGTTCCTAACCAATTTGAGGACAAATAGCAGTCACTCTCATTGCACTTAAAATGAAACCCAGACTTTTTGCCATCAACTATTAGACTGTCCATGTGTGGATTCTTCTTTCCTTGCTGACCACGTCTGATGTTACTGAACTACGTTCACTATATTAGCATACTAGCTTTATTTCTTCTGGTTTAACTTTTTAAACACTGCAAACTTTCACCAGTCTCCTGACTTTGCACTTCCAGTTTGTTTTGTTTAGAACATTCTTCTCCTGGCTCTACCTAGGCTGGGACCTCTGCATCCTTCAAGCCTCAGCTTAAGTGTCTGTCATCTTAGCAAGGCCTTCCCCCACCACTTTGTCTAAGTCATGTCCTGCTTGCTCCACCATAGCACCCTGTTTATGTCTTTCTCAGCATTGATCATCTTTGCAATTGTATTTAGTAGTTTCCTTAGTTATCATCAAGAAACTCTGGTGGCATAGTGCCTAAGGCATTTGACTGCTAACCAGAAGGCTAGGGGTTCAAACCCACCAGCCACTCCTTGGAAAGAAGGTCGGGCAATCTACTTCTGTAGAGATACCACCTCAGAAACCCAAGGAGGGGTCTCTGAGTCAAAAATGACTCTACAGCAGTGAGTTTTTTTTTTTTTTTTTTGAAATTTAAAACTAAGAATTATAAAAGAGACATAAAAGGCAAGTCATTTCTTATAAAATGTGTATTTCAGCAACTTAATGCTCAAGCACACTCTAGAAGATGGAAATAAATAAACACCTGTACCTATTTGCATAACTCTGAGGACACTGCTGTAGATGGTGACTGGTGCAGATGTGTAGTACTGGTGATGCCGAAAGCAAGTTATCTGTGATGTGATTTTCCAAAATGGTCAGCAGTATTCGTAGTGTTAGGAAGAATGCAAACGACACCTTCCCCTTTATTGAATAGTGGGTGCTGCAAAACAGTTAATGTGCTTGCTGCTAACCAAAAGGTTGTTGGTTTGAGTCTACCTAGAAGCACCTTGGAAGAAAAAGCCTGGCAATCCACTTCTGAAACTCTGTGGAGCACAGTTCTACTCTAACACACATAGGATCACCATGAGTCAACTCAACAGCAACTGGACTGCATTTTTGGAAAATGTATTAATAATAGTATAAATTAAGCCATGTAAAACTATGCTTTGTGTTAACATGTAAAATGTAGTTAAGTGCAGGCTCAAATAATTACAGACAGCTTTTTGACTTATGTAAATGTGTTTAACCAGATGTAAATTTGTATGGAATGAGTGACAATCCATCTTTGTACCATGCATTTCAGGGTGTCTAGCATTGCTGGCTCCTGTCCACCAAATATTAGTAGTATCCCCTCCTCCCCTAGGCACTGTGACAATGCAGGATACCCCTGATTCCTGTGCTACGAACATGGGAGTTTAATTGAATGGGTGGGGAAAGTTACTCAATCCTTCAAGTCTCCCAAGAGAGCTATATAGAGCATATGCCTATGACTTTATTTTTGTAGATATGCATGTTATTACTACTCCTACCTTTGCTTTTCTGGTATTAAAACCATTTGGTTCATTGAGATCTTTTTAGTAACTCTCAATCTTATCTTGCACTTCTTATAGCTGGAGTTGAAAATGCAGAATCCTATTGGCCAAGTAGTAAGCCAACAGATACAATGGGGGCTTGGTGGGCAGTGTTGCTAAGTGGAGTATGTAGGGATAGCCCTACCTCCCAGCTGTTACTGAGTGGGAAGGTGGGCCTAGAGCTGCTACTAGTTCTTCAGAATCTTTTTCAGAAAAGATATAAAAACATGCTTTTATGTGTAATGTTGCTGTCATTTTTTTCATGTTGGTAACTAATTCAGCACCAACACAAAATGTCTTAGATGGGATGGGATGCAATTCTGAAGCCAATAGTTTGCAATCTGTGATTTGTATGTTATATTTCATCAATAATTCCTTTCAAAGGCCTTTCCCGTGAATGAGCTGTGACAATACAGCACACTTAAAAAAAAAAAAAAAATCTTCAAAGTGATTGCTTTTAAGTCCTTATATTTGTTTTAAAAAACAAAGGCAATGAATTAACTCTTTCATGCTCTTTGTGCTTTAAAAAAATTAAAAAGAAAAGCAATCCTTTCCTTTGATTTAAGATTACCAGTATGACTTTTAGGCTTTGGGTGTTATCTTTGTTCTTGAACAGTTACTACTTGCCTGCTTAGTTGCATCTTTCCCCCTTAGTGTCAGAAAGTCATCGGTATGTCTCTGTGGTCTCCACAAGGTCATTAAAGTGTTGTATTTTTGGCAGCCATTTGCCTTTGGGGGCTGGTGGCCAGTCTCCAGTGGATTTTCATTTTTATTTTTGTCAACTACTGTGCAGCACCCTGATCAAAGGTCAGATTATTTTAAATTAATGCCTTTTAAGGAATTAGCTGTCTAGACCACTTGATTTCCTTTGACTAGGATAAGTAACGTAAATAGCACTTTGAAGGAGAATGACATCTAGTGGTTGGTTACTGTGTGTGTGTGTGTGTGTGTGTGTGTGCATGCTAATTCCTTCTGCAGGAATAACTGAATTTTAACTCTTTTGGTCATGATTTTCCAAAAGTCTTGGCAAAGTGAACTTCCCTGGGCTCCAGGAATTACATAATTTGTTCTAAAGGCCTTAATTACCATTTCCTGACTGCATTTTATCAGTTACCTTGAAATACATACCACATTGTTTTCGTTCTGAGAAAGGATCACTTATATTAAGCAACGGCTTTGACGAGGTAAAAGGAACGAGAGGAGTGAAAAGTCCCTATTGTCTTTTAAAACCTGCTTGTTTTCAGAAGATTTAATTTA